TCCATTTGGGCGCGCATGTGCAAATGTATTTTCTTAAATTTTTAGAATTGTCGGCTCAATCGATGTGGCTCAAAATTAAAAGAATGTGAGAATTGGTGAAATAATTATGTTGTATCCATTTTCTTGAATTCCGTACAGTACTTTCGGTTGCTAGAACGTATTATTTTAGGTATACCAATATTTCGGAAACAGCTCCTTCGATTTGGCTCAATGCTAAAAGGAAGATGAGAATTAGTAAAAATAGTAGTTGTGGACCTTGTGATATAGGTAAATGTGAAACCAATGAAAATGGTGAGGAAGCTATACTGGCCACACTTGGCAGACTTTTTACTTTCACTTACCTATATATGAAATATATAGTAAAGGAAAGGTATTGCGATTGTGAAAATTTTCGAATCACAGTTTTCAACGGAAATACACGTTTTGAGGTTCCTTGAGTCCAAATAACCAAGTCCTGAAAAATGCTCTGTGAGTATGTGAACAGTCTAGCTCAAAAACGAAAAGTCGTACGAATGTGAAATAGCATATTTAAGATTTTTATGTGCTAGAGATGTTACAGCAACTTTTTCGTCAAAATCGGCATACCGGAAGTGGCACGTTATATAATGGACTAACCATATTTTTATCATTTTCTCGAAAACCGATCTAACGATTTTGAATAAATCCATCACATCAGTGTAAAATTAAAGCAGTTTTAAGTAAAATGTAGTTTTTATTCTGATTGATGTTCTCTAACAGGGCTAAAATGGCTAATTTTCAATAATAGCTTCCTCTAAAGTATCTATAATTTTTTTAATTTAAAAAAATTGACAATTTAACATTAATTTATAATATAATAGATATTTAAATATAAAATATGAAATAATTTTATAATTAATTGAAGAGAAATAAGTTAATTACTTAACGGAGAATAGTTGTAATTGAGGAACCAAAGAAATACGAGCGCACCCGAGCTCGCCCGAAAGGTAAGAACACGCTTACTTACATACGTATCATAACACGAGCTTAATATAATACGGACTCCGACAGTATGATATAAATATACATATGTGGTTTTCATAAATGCTCTTTTTGGTATCATTTCATATTTAATTGTATAGATTATAGCGAAATAAATACTAAAATTTGTAGATATAAGGGTACTTATATATAACTAAAAATATCCACAATAAAATATAAATTAATACAGCGTCTATAATTTTAACTTTCATTTCCCCTATGTGTGAAAATACATTTTTCTGCTAAGAAGAGGTTGGTAAATGAAAGTTGTGTGATGCGCATACCGCTCCAGATTTTTTTATTATCTCAATAAAATAATTAAGTAAATAAAAAAATGTTGTGTTGTATTATATGAGTAATTTCGATTTTTACATTTTCTGTATATCCTAACTAATTATTCATAAATATTGTCAAGTTATTGAGTTTCATATTACAAGAAATTGAAGAGAAGTTCATACGTATTTTTGTTTTTCCCCTACCTCGCTTTTTCGCCTGTAAGGTTTTTTTCGTGGGACATGGGTATGGATACCATAGGACATCTGTCATTTTTAAAAAGTTGGAAAACAAATTTGTCTGTCTTCAATTTAAATTTTTTTTTTATTTATTCAAATTGAATATCTTTAATCATCAGAAACAGTCTGAGTTGAACTTATAAAACTAAAATTGACTTTATCTACGCTTCTGAAAATGACAGAGAACCATCCGTCTTTGATATGAAGCCAATCAACCACTCATATATTTTCATGTTTAATTTCATTATTAATTATTTTCATATTTAATGTATTGGTTAATGCTCAACTTTGTGTTGATTATGTTATGGAAAATAAAAATGTAAATGTTCGTTTGTTCAAACTCTTAAATCTCCGAAAGTTCTTCACCCATTGCCTTGAAATTTTGGCTTAACGTTGAATTTAAATACGCGCGTGGTTTAATATATCTACTATTATAAAATAGAAGGTGAAACTATACATATTTATTAAAAACGCACCATCAGTTGGGTATAAAAGCAACACATGCGGTTCAAACTTTTTTTACGATATTGTTTCAATGTTAAAGATTTTCAAATATCAAACTTAATTGCGCTACACCATTTACCATAGCGTTTATTTCGTGTGCAATAGAGCTGCCTTCCACCTCCCTCAAAAGATTTCCGCTCCTAAGATATTTGATTGCTTGCTTCTTGTTAATAACTTGATTAAATATAGAGTTATAACAATTGTAGTGTAAAAATAAACCTTACTCATAAAAGAAAGCCTACATTAAGCGGCACAGCCTTATTCCAACGTAATGATAAAGAAAATAATTTATTAACAAATAATATAAACTGAAATCAATGAAAAACTAATTTATAAAAGGAACATAAACGGTGATAATAATTGCTCAAAGGTCAAATATTTTTAAATAATAGCATATTAAATATTTGAGATGTATCAAAACACTTCCAGAATACATTGGGGGAAAATTATAAAGAGCGTATAATAGTATTGACATACATAAGGAGAATCATATCACTTCTTCAAATGATAATCTCAATTACTGCGGTAATTATAAAATTTTCGATCACAAAAAAAAAAAAAGGAAATGGCCTTTTCTGAAGAAAAAGTAATAAATGTTTAAAACTCAATAACTCTGCAACGAATCGTTCAATTTCGATTTTTTTGTTTTTGTTTTGTAGCGAATTTAGAAAGCTATGAAATAAATAAGGGTATTTATTATTTATCCGAAAATGTGTACTTTTTTAGTTTTACGCAAATCAAATTCTGAATTCATCATAACATCAGCTTGTTTTCGGGAAATTATGTTCTGTACATAAATTAAAAGGATTTCAAGGGGTGCACTTTAGCCAAGTTTCATTAAAATCGTTAAAGCCGTTTTGGCGCCACAGTTTAAAATGTTCAAAAACTCACCTGAATTCGATTGCAACAACGCTGTGTCAAAAATTCCCACTCTTTTTGTTATTTTTACACTCCACATTTTTATTATTTTTACACATATAAAATTATTGTAAGACAGAAGAACTATGCCAGGAACCTTCGTAGAACTGTAAACAACAAGCTCGTTAATTTTCATGGCGATCGGATGAATGGTTTAGTAATGCATTAAGGACAAATAGGAAAACAGATATACATTCATTTCTATCTGTATGTATGTAAATATATATATATATATATATATATATATATATATATATATATATATATATATATATATATATATATATATTATATTATTTATATTTTTTAACTTTTTTCTGCTTTTTCCAAGTCCATTTAACTTACATCACAGAGAATACTCGTCATATGCTCAAAAATCCTTTTTTAAAGCATGAATGGAAGACATGCATCAGTTCTGAGGCTATATGGGCCAAACTACCGATGAAAACTAGACTCCACATCGTCCTGAATTTCCCTAGGTTCGTAAGAAAGGATAACTACACATACAACAAAGTTTTCATGTACTGGTGGAAGGAATTAGTTGGGATTGATAATTTAACCTGCTTCAAACAATTAGAAGAAGAAAGAATTGAGATAATAAAGGCTCCTACACTCAGAGAGCGGTAAGTCCGGTAATTCCTGTCGGCGGCGATATAGCAATATGCTATTGAATGACCGCAGTCAAACAGAGCGCGATATATCTCGGCGATACGATATTCCTGTCGGTAGTGATATGGCGATATATTTGTGTAACTATCTATTGCATTATACCAGTCACACAGTGCAAGATAATCTGCATCGATACCGACAAAAAGAATCGTATCATGAGGTCGTATCGCGTTCTGTGTGACTACTATTATGAAGTATATAGTAATACAAGTATATCGTAAGTAAATGAAGTAGCGGGATACTACTAACGAAAATTTAAATTACTAAAAACAGAAAGATTGGAATAAATAAATTAACAAAAGGTAGATTGGATTCTCCCGTATCTGCTCAAAACACGTTTAATTATCATACTGCAATTTCATAAGTGCAGTTGTACACAACAAAAAATTTATTAAATAAGTATGACTGAGGTGACATCATCGCTGCAAATGGAATTAGCAGATAAATATTTCGAATGATTTCGGAATCTACTCCTGAAGATGCGAAAACTATTACAATAATTATGTTAATTGTATACATAATTAATTATATTTAAGTTTTGTAATATTTATTAAAATTTTGTATTTAATCCCAATAAAGAGATATGGATGACACAATTTTGGCAAAACATGAGATGATGACCCAGCCTTTCTTGAATCTATCTTCCACTTCGCAGAATAGTTACTTAAAATCGAGTGTGGCTCACGTTGATGGAGTTTTATGTAAATAAATTAAATGTTAATGAAGTGAGGCCAAGTTAATCTAGCGCTGTCACCGGGTGGGGAGGGCCACGTGTCGGTGCACGTGCGGGGCCCACCCCCCCGACAAGTAAATAGACTATAATCCGCTGCCGATCACCGCCCCATCCATCAAATCGCCCGCTCCCGGGGGGTCCGCAAAAAAACTGCTACCGTCGTTAACAGATTGTAAGTGTCCTCCGCTTCAGCGAAGCGCCCTCCTGGGCACAACAGGCAGGTCAAGAAAACGAGCGATAAGGTTATCTACCTATGATAAAGTGTTATTGTGCTTCTCAGTGTTTTGTATTTTTCAAGTTTGTTTTGTTAGTTTTGTTGTATCGTTTCCTACTGTTTGTGTTATTTTAGTGTTTTATAGTTTTTTGAACATGATTTAGTTTTAGTTTATGTTTATTTAGTTAATTTTATAAACTTTTTGAGTGAACAGTGGAGGTTAAGGTTAACTTTGTGGTTTTCACGAAGGTTTAATCTAACCAAAAGGACGTTTAGAGACTATTACGTTGGTGAAGCACTAAGGTAAGTTCATATTAAAGTCTTACTTTTGAAGATAGGAAATTTATAAGTTTCCCGAACGTAGGTTAGATTTTGAGTGTTGAATATTTCCTTCTACTGTTGTTCACCCATTATTTCAACGTATAAAGTTGTTAATTTTGGATTGCGTAAGATGGCTGATGAAATTGCATCAGCAATGGAGCAGGAAATGGTGGAAGAACAGGCTATAAAGTGCCCAAGGCCTTCAGCAAAGAGGCAAAGGAAAGGATCTCCTGACGCCCGAGAAGAAACAGATAAAGAACGTGTAGACGATAGTCTTCTGCAAGATGCACGTAGAATCAAAGAAAACATCAGGGTCTACATGAACGCAACAGACAGGAACGTGAGTGCGAAGGTACAAAAGCACGTTAATGGGAAAATTCAGCAGTTAATAGATATAATGGAGACAATATATGATAAGAACTATGAAAAAACGTTTTTAGTACAACGTGTGGTAAAGGACACATTAGCTTCCTCTGAAATGTATGATATCATAGTAAATGCATTAGTGGAAAAAGCAGTACCTATGGTTATCGAGGGACTCAAGTCGGAAAGTAAAACCATACAAAGACCACTGTCAGAACCTCAGACATCTCGGGAGTTTCCATGCGTTATAGAACAACCGCTATTAGCCGATGCCCACGCTATTATTGAGACCACGGAGAATGAAAGTTTCCAGGAAGTAAAGAAAAAGCAAAGAAGGAAAAAGGCTCTTCCACAAGTGGCCAAAGAGATCGAGGCCTCTAAACCAATAGCAGAGGAAAGTTTGACCAAGAAAAGGTCTACACATCAGACTACGATGGCCGATATTGTTAAAGGGCTTCCATTAAAACCGATGGATACTACAAGACCAACTTATGTTACCATCGCTTCTCAAGGTAAAAGTGCAGCTGACATCATCAACAATCTGCCTTCTCCAACTGAACTAGGAGTCAAGGCGAGAGTTGTACGGGCGACCAAAGCTGGCTCAGTTTTAGTTTGTGTAGATGAGGGTGCCCATGCGAAAAAAATAATTGAATGGCAAAAATTAAAAGAAGTGGGGATGGAGGCAAAACTAGCCTTAAAAAGAAAACCAAAAGTGGAGGTAAAAGGAGTTCCCCTTTCATGGAGTGCGGAAAATCTAGAAAGGGTGCTATGGGAAAGGTTGGCTGCAAAATCGGCCGTTATTTCTGAGAACCAATTAGGTAATATAAAGCCATTGTTCTCATCAATGGCTAGAAATAAAATTACCAATAATTGGGTGTTAGAAGTACATCCAATGGTAAGATATAATCTACTCAAGGAGGAAATAATTACAGGAGGTTGGTGGTCACTGACAATCTTAGATTACCCCGATGCTCCTCCCTGTCTAAGGTGTCAGGGATATGGACATACAAAAGCTACTTGTGAGGCAAATGGCATAGTATGCAAGTGGTGTGCGGCGAGTGGGCATATTGCTAAAAACTGTCCCGCAAAAGGAAATAAGACCGCACCTACATGCGTTAACTGCGTGAGGGAAGGTGTTCAAAAAAGTAAGGCTAAACACCAGGCAGGAAGTAGAGAATGCCCAGTGCACATCAAGAGATCTCAAGAATTAGTGAGGAGAACTCACTATGATTAGACTCAACATCCTGCAGTTGAATATGGGCCGCCGGCATATTGTGGCTGACGAGCTTCGCGCCATGGCACAACGCTACGATATCATGGCGGTCCAGGAACCTAGCTGCCGTGGGAACAGGGTTACGGGGTTTGGCCTCACGTCAAGAGTTATAGCCCTGAGCAGTGGAGAGAGGAGGCCCAGGGCTGCAATAGTGATTAATAATCCTAACCTTGACGTGATGGATCTGAGACAACACACCATGGCGGATTATGCATCTTGCTATGTTAAGTGGGGCAAGATTTCTTTCACATTGGTATCGGCATACCTACCTGTGAATAGTGATGTAGAAGAAAGCATATCCGCTATGGAGGCGATCATTAGAGAGATGAGGAATGTGATCATGTGCTCAGATACCAACTCCTGGAACACGGTCTGGGGGTCCAATATTACTGACAGGCGAGGCGCTAAAATGGGAAATTTCATAGGCAGAAATCACCTTGTCGTGATGAACGAACCCTCTGCCACCCCTACCTTCTCTGGAGGCATGGGGCAGAGTTGGATTGACGTCACGATCGCCACGCCTGCGCTTACGAGGTATATTGCTGATTGGACTCTCAGATCTGATACGAGTTCCGATCACGTTGCGATAGCAATTGGCCTGGTAAATGAGCCAGGATGTTCCCACGGTACTGATAAGGGTTTCGTCACTAAAATAAATGACTGGAGTGTCTTCAGGTCCTACCTGGAAGGAGTGATTGCAGACGAGGAGTGGGAAGCGGCAGAGATGGATGTAGTTGACAATCTGGACTACAAGGTGTCCAGGATTACCAACAACATTCGTGATGCTGCCGAACACTCCCTCAAGCACCGGAAGGCGAGGGTTCGACCTGTCCCATGGTGGACGCCAGCCTTAACTGTTCTAAAACGAGACCTCTACAAGGCCCGGCGGTCATATCAGAGGTGCAGATGCGAAGAGAGGCGCACTGTACTTCGCAATGAGTACAAGTCAAAAGCCAGGATATACCGAAACGAGGTTCGCTCACAAAAGCGGAAGTCTTGGGATGATTTCATCATTGAAGAGTCTTTGAAGAATCCCTGGGGTATTCCGTATAGGGTAGCATTGGGTAAGTTGTCCCCGATGCAGACTATTGCAGCCTTGCGGTATCATAATACTGAGGCAACCACCCTTGAAGAAACTGCCAATGTTTTCATTGAAGCAATATATCCCAGAGATGACCCAACCCAGGACAGCGAAAATGATGATTTTGTGAGACGCACCACGGTATATCCACCTGGTTCAGATTTGTGCCCACCATGGGACATTCACGATCTTCGTATTGCCGTGGATAAGCAGAAGACTAATCGTGCTCCAGGACTTGATGCAATAGATGCAGCGATCTTGAGGAATAGTATCACGTATATTGAAGACCGGCTGTTGAGTATTTTCAATGAATGTCTGGATATGGGATACTTTCCAAGAAGATGGAAGATCGCTGATTTGAGACTACTCTACAAGGGAGGAGATAGGGACAAACAACTCCCTAATTCATATAGACCTATATGTCTCCTCCCTGTGATTAGCAAGGTCCTGGAGAACCTCATGATGACTAGTTTACGGCCTGTTTTCGCTAGAGCAAGTCATCCACGGCAATATGGATCAACCAGAGGCAGAGGAACCGCTGATGCCCTGCTGAGAGTGCGCAGAGATGTTGAGGAGAGGGCGGAGCGGTATGTCATGTTGCTTCTTTTCGATATATCCTCCGCCTTTGACAGCGTATGGTGGCCTAACGTGCTCCAGCAGCTGCAGAGGTATGATGCTCCTAGTAACTTATACACATTAGTAAGAAGTTATCTCCAGGATAGAAGTGTCAAGATTAGAGGCAATTACTACGAGGTAGAAGCTTCCATAGAGAGAGGTTGCCCTCAGGGATCGGTGCTTGGTCCTGCTCTATGGAAGCTCGTCTTTGATGAGTTACTGGGAGTGTTAGAGGAGGAGCGGTTTCCTGCCACTGCTTACGTTGACGACCTAGCTGCTGTGGTGGCCTCCAACAGCAGAGCTGGAGTCAAGAGAGAAGCAGAGCGATGCGCCAGCCTAGTCGCTAGATGGTGTGAGGGGAAGAAGATGAGGATGGCTGCTGCTAAGACTCAAGCCATCCTCCTTAAGGGAAAGACTGATAGGGCACACCCTATAACGATGTACATAGAAGGTCAGAGGATACGTCCAAGTGAGGTGGTAACCTACCTAGGGGTTAGGTTAGGTGTAGGCCTCAATATGACGCCTCATTTGGAATATCTGGTAGGTAGGGTGGCCCTAGCAATGAACGGTCTAAGTCGTGTGGGGGGCGCATTTTGGGGCCTTAGGTATCCAGCCACTATCACTATTTATAAGGGTGTTGTGGAGGGTATCCTTAGGTATGCGTCTCCCTTCTGGTTCCGAAACCTCACACTCAGACAAAGAAATAGGCTAGCATCGACTCAGAGAACTGCTCTGCTTCGGGTCACCAGAGCATTTAGGTCTACATCGCATGAAGCAGTGCAGGTGTTAGCGGGGGTGGTGCCTCTCGACCTCCTCCTGCGAGAAGAAGTGACCAGGTATGACTACAAGAAGGAGGGCTCAACTAGTCTATCGGAGAACCTACGGATGAGGATTATTGAAAACCCAAATAAATGGAAAAAGATTATCCGGGAGGAAACAATTGAAGATTGGAGCAGACGGTGGGTGACGACTCCGAAAGGCAGTACCTTAAGAAAATACTTTCCCACCGTTGAATCTCGGTTACAGGCGAAATGGGTCCTCCCGGACTATTGGGTTTCACAATTTCTCACGGGACATGGGGGTTTCAGAGCTAAACTCCATGGCTACGGACAGGATATAGATCCCCACTGCCCCGATTGTGGTGTTCCGGAGACTGTTGAGCATGTGGTCACGGCCTGCACTGCTTTCGACGAATTAAGAGCGAGGTTAATGAGAACCACGGGGATTTACGTCCTCACTGAGGAGGAGTTTCCTCAGTTGGTGAGTGAAGAAAACTTCCCGCGGTTCAAAGAGTTTATAAATGGCTGGAAGACGGCGGTGGGCCCAGCTCACTTCAACCTAGGTGCACGCAGAAGGAGAAGAGGACCAGTCCCAGGAAGACCTCCGGATTCGGGAAGCCAGGCCTAAAGGAGCCAGGAAAAAGTAGAAGAGCTAGCTGTGTGCACAGCTTAGAATTTTGTGAACCGATATTATGGCAGTAGTGTGTTATTATGCATTAATGCTTAACATCACACTACTGCATACACCCGTGTTGCCCTGGTGGCATGGGAGGGTGGAAAACAAATAAAAAAAAAAAAAGGTCAAGAAAACGAAAATGGCAGAAAATAAAGAGACAAACCATACACTCGAGAAGTGATTCCAAATAAATAATGGGAGATGTATATCAAAATAACATGGGAAAGAGAGATAATGAGGAAAAGTAACACAAAAACAATGCCTAATAATTTGAAAAGACCACGACTAAACTATGATCTCTTCGGCACTCCAAGATTACATTAGAATAAATAAATAAAAAAAATATATTCTCAATATTTCTCTCTTCTACCTCGGTGCATAACATTTAGTTTTCAATTTACTGATTTTAAACCAAATTACACCAATTTTTAATCAGGTCAACAAAGAAACGACTAACAGTCTAAGTCACTCAATAGAAATGAAACCGACAACATGTGGGTTAACACATGATAAGTTAAAGATAGACTTGACGATCGTGATACTAGTTATTATGAGAAGACACATGTAATTCACATAAGAAGTATAATGGTCAGGTACATGATGGACTTGAAAATGGCTCGACGAGCCAAAACGTCGTAATAGGAGTTTGTTAGTCATTAAGTTGACCAAATTAAAAATTTGTGTAATTCGGCTTAAAATCAATAAATCGGGAAAAATATATATATTATTCAGGTATGGCTTCCGTAATTTAGTTTATTAATTGTTACTTTAACAGAAGTATGAAGCTTACCAATTGTGTGTGTTGAATAATTTTTTTTTTAATAATATATTTTTGTTTACACGAATTGAAATGTTGTCATAACAATGTTTATGCTTAGAATATATAGAAAAATGATATTTACTGCATCTCTCATAGGAGTATACTAATGATTAAAACCAATAAAAATAAATTCAGTATAGCTATAATCATGTCCTTAATAGTGACAGAATGTAATATTTCTCAATGAATAAATAATATAGCTATAAACTAATGAATGGCAAATTGTAGATGAATGAATCAAAATTGCTCCAAAGTTTCAAGCTATCTCCTTAAGAAAATTAATAAGAAAGCCTATCAGAAACAAACACACGCTTAGCCCCCTTGAAAAATCAACTGCCAATCGACGATCAAGACGATATATCACTTGACATTTAGCCATCATCCTTCTGAATGTTCTAAAAACAAACTTACTTGTATTTGATCTAAGTAGTATAAGGGTCTTATAAAGCTTATTATTTGTTAATGAGTTGAGATACATCTATTATTGTTGTAGTATGGGAGAGTATTTTCCAATACTATACGATGTCTAAATTGAGATGAAGGTATAGTATAAGTCCTTAAACTAAGTATTGATTTTATAGACGACATCGGATCCATCTCCTAACTTGAGTAAACGAGGCCATCGATGAGCTCAGCGCTCGGTTTAAGAACTTGATCATAAGATAAACAAACGTTAGGATACGAAATACGAGAGGCCGTGACGAGTGGGGCTCGAGGCTAGAAGAGGTTGGCCAAGGGCTGGCACCGCCAGGAGCCACCATTCTGCACGCCCCAGTTGGACCCCCTTCGCCTTTCACCATCACGCGTACACACACTCTCTGAGCCCTTACAGTCTTACATTTTTATGTATCATGTATTTAAAAAAATAATTATCACATAAGAAGGATTGTAGATTCGAAACATTCATAACTAATCGATGACAAGTGTTCCTAAAATTAGAATCTAATTAGTGACGAAGAATCGTGTGACCATGAAACACTAAAACAGTCGGAGGGACAACAAGATAATATGGCATTAATGGGACAGTTGGGATCTTTTATTAAGTCAACAAATCTAAAAAAATGTCTGCCAAATAAGGACAATATAGCTTCCTAACAGTTTTCATCGGCTGAACAATATTGTTTTTTAGAAGTCTATGATTTATTGTAAGAGAATAAAATTTCCGGAAGAAACCCTTTTCGGAAATGCAGTAATTCCTTAACCTATTTTGCTCATCAAAGAATACTAACATGAGAAAGAATTCTACATTTGCAAATCGCGTATTTGATAAATGGTGATTAAAGAAAAACATCCCAGTACATACTGAAGATGTAAATCCTAAGTAAAAATTGAGTGTTTTATAGGAAAGCATAAAAACTAATAATTTCTTGATGGTTTATTAGTGTAAATTCATATATTATTTGCCTCTGCTTTTTTCAATAGTACCAGACTATATCAGCTGCAGATTATGAATGTTACCAATGCAATAAAAACGCAAAATTGTTACATACTACCTTTTACACCAACAATAACGCATACTTATAGGTATGTTTTCAATAATAAAATGTATGGAACGAAAAATTCATTAGACAAATTCAACTTTTTTTTTATTCCGAGTTAACGAGACCCATATTTTTCTTAGTCACAATAAAACTAATTTATATAATATAAAAATATGATTCTAGTTTACAAAGTTTTGATGATTAAGAAGGAAATCGATACCACGACGAGCTGGTTGAATTTCAATAGAAACAAACAAAATCACAAATAAGACTTTTTTTTTACTAACTAAATAAAATAAAAAATTACAAGAAATCCAAGTGAAGGCAGTAAGTGTCACCTAACATCCTTCTTATCGACCAAACAATACAGTATAAATTAAATTTTAGAATAAAACCTAAAATGTTATAACCTTACAAAAATATTGTATAAACCTAATTACTATTCCATGTGATCAATGTCTTCAACATTTCACAGCCATTATATTATTAATAGTTATTAATATTAAGTTTAATTATTAAATGAAATTGGTAATAGCCAATTGTTGAGCTGTTCTCCAAATTTCCTCCAAGTTTGGGTCAAAGTGAACAAGCCTTTTTCAAACTATAGGCGTATCAAAGAATACGTTTATTGATGCGAAAGCTAAAGTATTTTATCTTAGAGTGGTGAATAAAATTTGATAAAATTGATACTTACTTAATTATCTGTTAACTAATCCCCAACTTCCTTCCAAATTTGAGCCAAATCGAACAAGTAGTTTCAGAAATACAGAGGTATTACGGAAAATTCGTTTGCAAGTTAAGTATATAACAGCAAGTTAATGACGAAATTCAATAAAATCGATACAGAATCATTATTTACCAAAACCTTCCTTTCAACTTTGAGCCTAATCAAACAAGCTGTTTCTGAAATATTGGCATATCTAAGTCTAGGAAGTGCTAGGCATAATTTGATAAAAATTTATATGGAGCCATTTAGACATCAACCCGCACTATTCCTGAAAATCGAATAAGCGCTAGTGATATGCCCGTTAAATCGATTTGGATACAGACATACAACGAACCAAATTTGATCCTTGATGTCTGAAACGTAAGACGCGAATGGAAATTTTCGATTCTGAACACAAAATTTTGTTTAACGTTTCACACGAATACAATGCTTCGGTAGTGAGAAAGCAAAAAAAAAAAAAAAAAAGACAGAAAAGATTCTTCTCGCCCAAAACAAATTGAAATATCCCCTTAAATAGCATATCGTATGTTTATGAAGCATAAAAAATCAATGCAAAATGTTTAGATGGGATGAAAATGGTGAGGTGGAAGACTAATTAAAAGCTCAACCTGTAAAAGATGGTGGTAGTTCCGTGATGTAGTGAGAAAGTTTTTCGATCGACAAATTTTCACTTAGAGACAAAATAATGTTGGATGCAAATACAATCACATGTTGAAAAATAATTTCAAGTCCAGCACACACACACCTCGTATGCGAGAAATAGCTAAGTAGGATGAACAAAAAAATATTAATTCCAGCACACAACAATAGATTTTGTATTTTGATACAAGGATTTCGCTACTTTGTAAATATCCTATAGTCGTTGGCTTCCTTATCGCGTCTTTTGACATAAATCTCATTGATTATCTCTGGGTGTATAATTAAAAATTTATTGAACTAAAAATTATATAATAATAAGGATGAATACTTCAAATAATAAATAAAAACTTTACGGATCAAAAAAAACTTTATTATATTTAAATTAAGGTGAATTGAGAAAAAAAAGATGGGCATTCGAAATCCAACAGGCCGTTCTTAAACTTATCTATGGATCCATAAATATAATTTTGCGGGTTTCGTTATCTATCGATTGAATCGCCGATGGCTCAGCGGTGTCACCGACTTTTGAGAGGCACATTCCGACGGGGTTGTTAATTTCCGGACCGAAAAGTTTCAAACCTAGAACTAGCATAACAATATGAACCATACCGCAGCAATTATGATCGTATATAATTTTTCTATTCTACTTTCCATTGCACTTTTTAAGAATATTAGAGCAATAACATTTCTTGGAAGTGAATGGGAGAGGAGGGAGAGCATATGCGCCATCGACCTTAGGAGGAATGGGCACCCCTACTCAAATGTACGAAAAGAAAACATTCAAACTCACAATGTTTTAATTCAGGAATTTATATTCCTTGTCAAAGTGATCAAATATAATAAAACAAAGATGTCCTTAATTTCACTAAACCAAAATTCAAATCTATATTTTTTTATTATTATTCTTAACCGTTTCTTCTTCTATTACTGAGCGCTATGAGGAATATTATATAGTATTTATTACTATTATTATTTACCTTTAGTATGTAAGTATTGTATGAATGAAAACATACTTATTGCTCCTGTAATGAGGCAGATTTTATTTTTATTTAATAAACTTGTGACATTTAAAAAATATCAAATCCACTTCGGAAGATTTGTGGGTTCCTCATTACACGACACTAACCAGTACTTGTGTATGTCTAAAGTTACATCGAAGTTTACCAATTTAAGAGAATGAGCTCTTCTTATAGCAATCTTTCTTTTTTAAAAAAAAACAAGAGATCGTTGAAGAAGTAAAATATAATTCTTATAATCTTATTACTTGAGTCAACAGCGGTAGATATATTATGCAAACTATCCTTTGAAAGAGCAAGTAATGTTTATCCCGTATCGTTCCATAAATTGCAGAACAGCCAACCGCGATAGCGACATAGTCCTTGGGGAAAGTCCACTATTCCGCAGGAGAAGAATAATGACTTGGGGGAAGGATTGCGCAAGGATAATTATTTCGGACTTGCAGACTGATGATAGGGCCAATCAGCTGCGTCCATTCATCACTCCTGCCACCTGATCCGCCGATCGCCTGACATATTTAATTCTCTCCCTCGGGTAGCAGCCAAGACATGACAACTGTTCTTCGAGTTCGGACCTAATGATGTACGTAACGCGGTAGGTCAGCCGGAGCAACAGAAGAAATCCCGACGAGACATCCAGCAGTCTCACTCGGGCGACACCTGTCCGTCCTACAAGGCACCTACTCATCAGCTCGAAATAGAAATTCGCCGTTCCAGATAACTCTCCAGGATTCCAGGAAACACTGTATTATTCTGCATTAGCATAATACTCGAATACTCACGACCGCAATGGAAGTGAAGTCCTTGAGTTGACACACTTGTTATTTGTTTACGAGATAAAGAAATTAATGTTCACACATAATATGCATTATAGAAACCATCTTCTAAAAAAGGCGATCCTTAATTACAATAATCTTTAACAGAACTGAAAACGATAAAGTTTTAAAAACACATAATTTCGACAGTTGAAAAAATATAAGCAAAAGCTAAATTTATTCATAAGACATTGTAAACTGCGTCTTTTTTATTTAAAAAATAACTTTTTTCATTCAAATTTTATGTAATTGGGCAGCACCCTTTTAAGATAATAAAGTGATTCTCTCTTTTAAGATAATAAAGTGATTCTCTCTAGGACAAAGATGTAATGTTTTAAGTAACTTTTTTTTAAATATATTCATTAATTTTTTTTTTATGGTTCTGCAGCTAGGTTTGATCATAAAAGCTCAAAACCGTACTTTCTAATAAAATTGTATTATACTTATTATTTTCCATTATTTCACTTTCTAAATTTGGTACAGGTTTTTGAAATCTAATCAAGGAGAAAATTCCAAAAAGTGAATTTTATAATGTTTAAATTCCAAAATGTCGTACCTTACTTTAAAATCGGTAAAGTAATAGGCATCGAATAAACAAGCAACGAAAAAAAAAAAATTGTATTCAAATGTAAAATGATATAATGATGAGGTGAAAGCTTTATTAGTAGATATATAAATATTTATATTAATTTCAATACCAGTATATGTTCTATGGTTATTTGAAGATGTATCTCAAAAGTCGGATTTTATAGCATTAAAAACTTCCTCTTGAGAAGTTATTTCTCTCAAGATTTCCAAATCATCGTCGGAGCACTTGAGGTGTAAAGATGGATCTAGGAGCAAGTCGGATTTAGAAGTACTAAGCCACAAAGAGGCGGAGTAATAAAACAGTGAGAGGTAATCAGACGCGGTACTAATCCGGGATTAGGATAACGCCCCTCATACCCCGAGAGGGTCGGTTTCAATCAGCGGTCGGGGGGTGGCCTTGTTTTTTACCGCCCCCAACTCCTTTATCCGTGCCACCCCCACAGCCAATCTCCAGGCCGTTGTCAATCCGCTGGTTCAATTAAAATAGCCAGTCTGTGGTCTCACCACTACCACTCTCCCAGGTCCTACCATATGCCCTCCAATGAATAAATCATTT